TGCTCTCTGGTTTTGGGTTGTGGGGCCTGTGTTCCTGGGTCCCAGGGTGCCCCCCCCCCAACCAGGGCTTCCTGGTGGAGGCGCGGCCCAGCAATGCGTGCCAGGCCCTGGAGCCGCCACCGGGCCCCAATGCCAGCGTCTTTGTGGCCCTTGTGCGCCGCTACGACTGTGACTTCGACCTCAAGGTGCGCCCAGAAGCTTGGGTCCTCCAGGGGTGGGGGGGCGGGGGGCCGGGCACCTGGACCGTTGGGTCCCTCGTGACCCTCCTGTGCCCCCCAGGTGCTGCACGCACAGCAGGCTGGCTTTGGCGCAGCCGTGGTGCACAACGTCGGCTCTGACAAGCTGCTCAACATGTTCTGGAACGACGGTGAGTGGGGGGCCGGGGCCGCCCCGGACACCTGGGTTCAATCCCTGGGGGGGAGTGGAGACCATGCCCCCCACCCTGATCCCCTGCTGTCCCCAGAGCGCGTGAGGGAGCAGGTCTCAATCCCGGCTGTGTTTGTGGGCGAGACGACGGCTGAGTACCTGCGCGCCGCCTTCACCTATGACAAGGGGTGAGTGCCTGGATGCCTGGGTCCTGTCTGCGTTGGGGGTTGAGGGCTGGGGGCCCAGACACCTGGGTTCTCTGTTTTGGGGAGGCTGGGAGCCCAGATGCCTGGGTTCTCTCTGTATCTGGGGGGTGAGAGTGGGGGACTGGGGGCCTGGACAGCTGGGTTCTCTGGGGAGCGGGGGCTGCAAAACCCAGCCTGATCCTGTGCCCCCTGCTCCCAGTGCTCATGTGGTCCTGATGCCCGAGTCCATCTTCCCGCTGGGCTACTACCTTGTCCCCTTCACTGGCGTTGTGGGTGTCATCATCGCTGTCATGTGCACCATCCTGGTGAGCTACCTGGAGCCCTGGATTGTGTCCTAGCTGGGGTGAGGGTTGGCCCAGACCCCTAAGTTCTCTCCTGACTGCCTAGGGGATCCAGGACCTGGCAGGTCAGAGTCTGCGCGGCAGGGGAGCCTGGACGCTTGGGTCCCCAGTGACCCCCTATTCCTCCCCCAGATTGTGCGCTGCATCCAGCACCGGAAGCGCCTCCGCAGGAACCGGCTCTCAAAGGAGCAGCTCAAGAAGATCCCGGTACACAAGTACAAGAAAGGTCAGGGCCCCTAAGGCCCCCAGTGTGGAGCTGGGCCAGCAGGGGGCGCTGGGATGTGGGGGTCCAGCAGGCAGCACCATGCTGTTGGGGTCCAGCAGGGGGTGCTGTGATTGGATGGTGATCCAGCAGGGGGCCCTGGGCTGTGGGGGAGGCGTGCAACAGGGGATGCTGGGCTGTGAGGGGGGGGTCTAGTGGGGGGCACCAAGCTATGGGGCGGGGGTGGAAATACCCTCTGCTGCTCCCCCTCCTTTGCAGAGCAGTAGCCCCTGTGGCCAGCAGAGGGCACCCCTGACCCTGGGAGCTGCCTCAGGGGATGGACTGGGCCCCTGGGTTCCTTTACCAGCACATGGTGGGGGGTTCCCGGACCGCTGGGCTGGGTTCTTTCTTGGCTCGGAGGCATCTGGGCTCTGTTTCTAGTGGGTGACAAGCAGGCCTTGGTCGCCTGGGTTCTGTCCTCGCTCGGGGACCACAGTGGGGTGGGCGGGGGCTGGACCCCCTGGACGCCTGGGTTCTTTTGTTGCGGGAGGGGCTGGTCGCCTGGGTCTCGTCTGTGCTCAGGGAGGCATGTAGGGTTGAGGGTGGGGGCTGGGTGCCTGGACGCCTGGGTTCTCTCCTCAGCTTGTCACAGCCAGACCCCACCCAGGGGGGCTGGGAGCAGAGCATGCCAGGCTGTCTTCTGGGGCCTCCCCCAGCGGGCTCCCAGCTGCCTCCTTTCTTAGCCTGAGTTAGGCCTGGGGCCCCAGATGCCTGGGCTGTCTCTGGTGGAGGGGGCTGGGGGGTGCGAGTAGTGGGGGTGGGGAGCCCAGATGCCTGGGCTCTGCCCTACTCTCTGTTCCCATCGCCCGCCGGGGCAGGGAGGGAACCCAGGCGTCCTGGCCCCTCCCTCCCACGGCAGTGTCTCGGGTTGAGTCAGGAGGAAGCCGGGCCCTGGTGTCTTTTACCTTATAAGGCCGCGTGGCGGCAGCGGAGGGGCCTCTGCTTCCTGTTTTTTCCTCCCAGCCGCTGGCCCCTGCCCCCACCAGCACCTCGAGGCAACTGGCTCTGGGGTGGGGGGTGGCTGAATGTAACACGCTCCTGAGATGCATCTGGCTCTGGGGTGGGTGTAACAGGGCTCTTTGATGCCCACCCTAGAGTCAGCTGCAGCAGGGGCTGGGTGTAAACGAGACCCCCTCCCCCCAACCTGGTGTTGAGATGCGGCTTGCTCCTGGGTGGGCATGGGGGTGGCTGAGTATAACAGGAGTCTCCAATGCAGCTGGCTCTGGGGTGGGCACCATGAGCTGAATATAACAGGGACTCCCCCCGCCCAGTGTTGCAATGTGGCTAGCTCTGGGTTGGGCACTGGGGGCAGCTGAGTATAATAGGGGTCCTGATGTGGCTGGCTCTGGGGTTGGCACTGGGAGCTGGGTATAACAGGGTCCTCCTCCCTGCCCAGCACTAAAATGTGGCTGGCTCTGGGGTGAGTGTGGGGGCAGCTGAGTGTAACAAGGGTCACCGATGCGGCTGGCTCTAGGGTGGACCTCATGGGCTGGGTAGAACAGGGACCCCTCCACCCGGTGCTGAAATGTGGCTGGTTCTGGGTAGGGGCTTGTAAGGAGAGGCTGCTTATACAGGCCCCCCGGCACAACAGAGATGTCAGCCTGTGCCCCAGTTTCCTCCCACCAACTCTGCACCTGTTTCCCCGGTCGGACAGCTTCTCCAGGCTGCACCATTCTCCACCCCCCAGCCTGTGCCTCAGTTTCCTCAGCTGGGCTGACCCGTGTCTCCCTGCAGGGGATGAATATGATGTCTGCGCCATCTGCCTGGACGAGTATGAGGAGGGTGACAGGCTCCGCATCCTGCCGTGCGCCCACGGTGAGTGACCCCTGACCCCACTGTCTTACTGGGGCCGGGGCTGGGGAACCTGGATGCCTGGGTTTTCCACTGAGAGGGGAGGGGGGGAGCTGCCTGGTACTGTATTTTCTGGCCTACAACATGCCCCCCACCCTGAATAAAACCCCGCTGCCTCCTTCAAAGGCAGAACAAGGGGAGGGGGAGAAAAGTGGACATAGAGTTAGTCCTCCTAGGGTCACAGAGGGGCCAGGAAGTGTGGTGCCAGAGACTTCCTGCTGCTTCACCCAGATGCTCTCTTGGGGGTACCATGCTTCCTAGCCGCTCTGTGTGCCCTGGAGGACTCGTTCTATGTCCTCCAGGCTGCTGGTTCTCCCAGAAGTACTGTATTTCCTGGGGTAGAAGATCAGGGTCGCCCCCCCCCCCCCAATTCAAGAGGGGATTGTCTTGGATTCATGTATAAAGGTAGGTCAGGTTTCCTGTTCCCCTCCCCCAACCCCGCTACTTCCCCTTGCAGTGGGGGGTTGACTTATTTTAGGCAATCCTCCAGCAATTAGATTCCTTGTGTGGAAAAAGGGCTAACAAATTAATGTATTTTCCACATTTGAGACTAATCTTGGGGCATCTTGGATTTGAAGCCGTCTTGTATTTGGGTAGATACGGTAGCTATAAGGAAAGAGGGCGTGGTGGCACT